TTTTATTAAAGCAAAAAGAAAGCGCACGGGACCAACTACTAAGTGAAATGTCCATTGTTCCTTATGGTGCGCAATACTCCTCGACATCATCACCAACAGACAGTCCAAGGACAGTTCTACCACCTTTAAGTGGTATTCCACTATATCTCTGAAGAAAATAAATAACATTCATGGATAATATTGTCACTAAAAAGTCTTTCTACTACAACATTGAACAGGTTTTCCAAGTAATGTAAACACACCTGTGAGGCCAGTTTTTTCCTACACCTCTTTTCCTAATAGTGGTGAGCGAGGTATAACTATCACACACGTTGCCCGCTCGGCTACAATTGCTGCTTATACCAACCCTTCGTCAAAAGGAAAAGGTATCGCATTACCACCCTTTATCAAAACACTACTTTCAGTAATATGAAACTTACATATCCTTTTTTTTTTATGAATGGTTTCAGATATTATGGTTGAACTCTCAACGGCCGCAACTCTTGAATGCCGAGAACAAGAAACTATCCTCCCTCGAGATCTATCAGAGCTCTGGCGTTTCTTTCATGGACCACCAGGACCATTTGGGAGGGCTGCTGAGGAAATAGTTAACGATGCTGTTAACACTGTAACAAACAAAGTTGTAGATATGGATATTGATGCACCACCAAAGAACTCTACGATCCAAACAGCTTGCCGCGAACCAGGGCTTCAGCTAACTTTAGCTGTGCATACATCGATGATGAACCTGAAGACTGTGTTATACCAACACAAACGGCAATAGCGGTTGTAGAGTCTTCATCTTCCTCGACTTCTACCACGCCTTCATCAAGCAGCCATGTATTCTCTGAGGAAGAGCTTCTGTCGGCGGAGGAGGTTGATATCCGCATGTCACTCATAGGTATGAAAACAGCCATAATTTTCAAACAAAAATTAGTAGTAAATATTTCCTACATTGCCTGATATTGTTATATTGTCATGTACCATTTCAGGAGAGGATCTGATCGCACATTTGTACGACAACCCGGAACCAGATCCAATGCTTCAAGCACCGGCTCTGGAGCAACAGACTGTTGATGTGCAGAATACGGGTGCCGATAAAGAGAAACGAGTGATGACCGAAGACGGAATACTATCTCGTGAAGTTGGTGGGTCATCAAGGCCGAGTCGAGCTTTGCTAGCGACTAACATTTATCCATTAGGAGCAATAGGAAACGATGTAGCATCTAACATCTCACAGTTACCGGCTACACATCAAACTTTAACTGCAAACACACCACAGTTTGCCTACCCCCCCCCGTGTCATTGTCCGGTAATCCCCCAATATTGCTTCACACCCCAGCTGTTGGCGCTGAACCAAGAGTAGAGCCAGCGTTGCACGAAAGGGATGCACCTCCATATTTCGATGACCCAATTATCGGAGGTAAACAATATTTATGTCTGTTTCAAGTTTACATGAATTGTAAATGCTATCTAGCTAATTGGGTTAAATGTTTACACTGGTTAGCGGATGAAATAGCGAGAGGGTTGGGTGATGCACAGTACGAGGGAGATGACATTTTCGTTGGAAGAATCTTTGAGACGAAAGAAGAGTGCAAGTTGAAACTCGCGCTGCATGCAATAAATCGAAGGTTTCATTTCAAGACCGTCAATTCACAACCTGAGAACGTCATTGTTTGTTGCGTTGGCCCGACATGTCCTTGGAGGATTTATGCCACACAGATAAAAGACAGCTTACGCTTTGAAGTCAAAACTGTGATCAGGAATCACACCTGCAGCGTCGACGCCCGAGGTGATTTCCACCGAGTAGCTTCAACGGATGTTATTGGAAAAATGGTTCGTGAAAGATATGGGTTGAACATAAAGGGGCCAAGGGCGTGTGATCTTCGCCGTCTGCTTTGACAAGAGTACAGCTTGCACGTCAGCTATTGGAAGGCGTGGAGAGCAAGAGAGATCGCATTGGACAACGCCTTAGGCGGTGCTGCAGCAAGCTTTGCGTTGGTGACCCCCTACTTTGAAAAACTACTAACGACACACCCTAATTCTGTTGTTGCTTTGGAGACAGAAACCTCAGCCTCAGGGGTTGTCCGTTTCAAGTATCTATTTTACTCGTTACATGCGTGCGCTCAGGGATATAGGTACATGAGGAAGGTTATTGTCTTTGATGCTACACACTTAACCGGACGATATGGTGGGTGTCTCATGGCGGCAAGTGCTCAAGACGGTAACTTCCAAGTCTTCCCTCTCGGCTTTGGGATCGTGAACAGTGAAAACGACGACTCTTGGGAATGGTTCCTAAGAAAGCTGACCGCAATAGTGCCAGACGAACATGACCTTGTCTTCGTCTCAGATCGGCATGCTTCCATATATGCAAGCATTCGTAAGGTTAGCGCCTAAACTCCAGGGTTACCGTATATTTATATCTATTAGTGATAAACCAAAATATGTCGCTAAATAATTGGTTAACTTGCTAACTGTTTCCATTTCTCGACTCCAACAGGTGTACCCGATGTCTTCACATGGAGCATGCATTGTTCACTTACAACGAAATGTAGTTACTAATTTCAAATCGGAGCATCTGAGTCATCTTACTTCTGTAGCTGGAAGGGCGTATCGTTTTAGCGATTTCGAGAAGGCATTTATGGAAATTAAAGCGATCGACGAGAGGTGTGCGGACTATTTACAGAGGATTGGTTTTGAGCATTGGACGAGATCGCATTTCGTAGGGGAACGCTATAATGTGATGACGAGCAACATATCTGAATCTTTGAACAAGGTCATGACAATGGTAAGAGAGTACCCCATCATTTCTATATTGGAAACTATAAGAACGACACTTGTATCTTGGTTTGCGATAAGAAGGGATTCTGCAAACACTGAGACTGACGTCGTGAATCCCAAGATTCAAGAGATGCTGATTGAAAGTTTTCAGAAGTCTTCAGGATATTTCGTCATGAAAATAGGTAAGATATGAGATATATTGTTTACCTGTTAACATTTACAGTTGACGGTAGTCTTTATCTGCTAACACTAATTTTACATTACAGGAAATGGACTATACGAGGTGCATGACGAGATGGATACAGCTTTTGCAGTATCCATGTGGGAACAGAGTTGTAGTTGCAGGGAATTCCAACTTCTACACATACCATGTTGCCATGCCATAGCTGCGGCAATAAAAGAGGGAGTCCGTGTCGATAGCTTGGTCGATATACACTACTCCACTCAGTATCGCAGGTTGGCATATGGTAAGGTTATAATGCCAGTCCCTGATATGGATCATTTGGCTCCACGACCGGAAGATGTCGGTGGAGGAAAACTTGCACCTCCAGCGGTTCGTCGACCCCCAGGCAAGCCACGAAAGCAGAGAATATTGTCTCGTGGAGAATTCAAGGTACAAAATACTTTACCTCTTTAAATCAGTAGGAAGTATGTAATCGGTAACTCGATTAGCGCATAACTTCCTATACCTGTAAACCTCAGCGAGTTTCCAGAAGAAAATGCACAAGATGCCGAGGACGTAGACACAACCGTTCAACCTGCAAGACCCCATTACCGGTATAAACCATCTTCTTCTAAACAATTAACATATTATGGTGACTCTGTAATTTTTACTCTTTTTATACAGGGAGAATAGTCAGAAAATGGTGCTAAGGAAGGGGTTTATTTTTGGCGGCTGGATGCATATCATTCTATCCACATTTTGTTGTCCAAAGGAATAGAATGTTAGGGGTTATCTCTTAATTTCAATATGTATGATAAGTCTTGAATGGTGTAGTAGTTTGTCGTCGAGTTTAATAATGTTTAAAGACGACTATGTACTATCGCGGATAACGTATGTACCAGCTAACTCCGAGCATCTTTTAATGAACTACTTATTTTCTGTTATTACGCGACCTAAACCCTAACTATACCTTGGTTACACTCTAACATGTATATCTTCTTGGCTTTCACTTAAACTAAACCTTAATCGAAATAGGTCAACCCAAATGATCCAAAGATACCCCCTAACACCACTTATCCTATAACTTGGTTACACTCTTATGTGTATATCTCTTTCGGCTGTGAGTATAACTAAAACCCTAATCGAAATAGGTCAACCCAAATGAACCAAAGATACCCCCTAACACCACTTATCGTATAACTAGGTTACACTATAATGTATATATCTCTTTCGAATGTGAGTAACACTAAAACCCTAATCGAATTTGTTCAACCCAAATGTTCCAAAGATACCCCCTAAACCAAATTACACTATAACTTAGATACACCCTAGTGTGTATATTTTTTTCGGCTGTCACTTAAGTTTATGTGTTATATGAGTATCTAAGTCACCCTAAACTAAACCCTAATCGAAATAGTCAACCCAAATGATCCAAATATACCCCCTAACACCAATATTTCGATAACTTGGTTACACTCTAATGTGTAGATCTCTTTCGGCTGTGAGTAAAACTAAAACCCTAATCGAAATAGGTCAACCCAAATGTTCCAAAAATACACCCTAAACCCAATTTGACTATAACTTGGTTAAACCCTAGTGTCTATATTTAAACCCTTGAAGTAAAACTAAAACTCTAAGCAAAATACGTCAATCCAAAAGATACCCCCTAACACGAAATGTCCTATAATTTGATTACACCCTAATATGTATATCAGCGTCGGGTTTCGGTTAAAGTAAAAACCTAATCGAAATAGGGGAACCCAAATGATTCAATGGTAAACCCTAACTCCAAGTTAAATATTATTTTGCATTCAATCAGTTACTTACTGACTAACAAAAACTTAAAACCTTATCGAATATGGTGAACCCAAATAAAGCCAAACCCTAAACCCTAAACCCTTAACCCAATTTCCTATTGCGGAAACCCTAACCCTAACCCCTAAATTCTAAACCCTAAACCCTAAACCCTAAATCATAAAATGTTAACATTAATCAAACATGGGTCATCCCGTATAAAAGCAAACGTTAGCCGTTAATATTTGGGTTACACGTTAACGTTGATAACAAATTGCTTGGTAATTCGTATTCATTAACTGATGACTTAGTTATTACTTAATAAACCTAAAGCAATTTCTAACCCATAGAAATATCTATTAACGATGTTTTTGGCCAATACGTAATAAAATTGAATCCGAATTAGAAGATAAACCAGATAACGAAATAAAATTTGTCTGACAATACAACAACGTAACGCGGGTTTCTAAACCGAAAAGTAAATAGAAGTCTATCCACCGCAACTCTAGGAAAATGAAAACCGAAGTCCCCAAAGACTAACAACAATCCTTAAAAGTTCATAGGTATTGCTCAATAAGAACTGTAACGACTTTCTTCGCCTCCAAGTCAATGTGCGTAAGGTCGAACTCCTTAGAACCCTCTCTGCTGAAAAGGGCATGAGATAACATTAAGAAGTACGCCACTAAACCATCATCGTTTGTTGACTTTATCTGTGGTACGTCAGTGATCCTTTCAATATCATATTTGGTAGTAGACAACTGAGACATCTTTTCGTTATCTGCAACCTCTATAAACAAACAGGGAAGCATTTCAGCGATGGGTCGGATTTCAGTAGTCATGCTTGCATCCGTACGCAGATTGGCGTTACAGTCCAAAACCTCAATCTTGCAAGTAGAGAGATGAACCACAAGAAATACCCAATGCTTGATATCGAGATTAAACGGCAGATAGAGAATATCAGCATCCGAGAAAAGCGGCAACCGATCAACTTCCCCAACACCTTTTAGTCTCTCGGTGACGGCTTTGGAAAACTTAAAGTCAGCTCGGGGATCTGTCCTGCTAAACTTCGGGTATAACTTGGTTAACATCGATACAAACTTCGAATCCAAAATATCCACTCTCGGCTGCCGACTGTCTTCGCGGAGTATATGCCTCCCCAACAAACATAGAGAATCCATAACCTGGGTTAAATCAAATACGAAAGCAATAGGTTAGCATTTAATAAAGTTAGCAGCTAATAGACCTTTGTTACAGAATCTCAGTGAAAACCTTTGCAGGCATTGGTTTCTGTCTCCCCAGCATTTCGTTTAGGTCCTTCGATGTAAGAAGGTTTCCTTCCCCACATGCCAGAGGCCAACAAATTTTTAAATACACAATTCAGCGTACAATCTTTATAACTAGAGGAACAGAAGTTAACTAACTTCTTAAATGCTTTCATAGCTTTATCAAACCGTTATTGAAGGGCTTTCTCAGAATCATTGACAGCTTCGGAATTCTCTATAATAGTTCTGATACGCTTCTCGCATCGAAAAGGACTATCTAATCGAGTCGATACAGTCCTCTGACGCTTGCTCACCCTCCTCTGAACATGTTCCACTTTGGCTTGCTCCTCCGAGTTTATAGTCAGATTTTTGGGATCGATAATATCTTCGCCAGCAGAAATTACAGCATTGGGTTCAGGAATGTCAGAGGTTACAATCTCATCAGGCTGGACGTCTCCAACACCATCGACCTACATACATGGTCGTAGCAAAGACAAAAATATAAATATACGAACATTGAAATAAGTGTAAATCAAATTACCCATGTTCTATAAGTTATATAACAGTTATGGCCCCTATATGTTGGATTTGTGATCCAAAATATACATACCGTGGTAACCGGGTTATCAATTGCTCACAATTATCTTTGAAATCCCGCATTGCAACATAACTAGAATAGCGTCTAATAAACGGTTATAAAGACTATAATTTAGGGTAATAACGGGAACATGTACCTCATCAATAAAGTTCTCTCCCACCGGGGGGATTAGCACATAATTAGGGCCTGATTTCAAGGGATCGTCATGTTCAGGGTTTTCCTATGTAATTATTTTCACGGATTAATAGAGCATAGTGAACAAATAAAAAACATCAAATTTAAAGCTAAAACTTAAAGCAAATACCTCCTCCTGCAAATTCACACCATCTGACGACTTCGGCACGTCATTTTGTGGGTTGAATTGAGGGAGAGAGGCGCCATCATTGTCCTATCAAACACATTAATATGGATACGTTATACAGACACCCACTATGTTTTCCGATAAATTGGCATGACAATTCTACCTTCTCAGGCCGGGTTTCTGACAAAACGACACCATCATCGCCTGGGTTATGCGTCATAACCTGCTCACCATCAACAGCGTCGACACTGCATTCCCCTATGGGGTCAACGGTACCCTTACCAACTCTTGCAGTGTTGGTGGCATCATCAGCTCTGGGAGCGTATGTGGAAACAATCTCGTCAACCGTCGGCATGGAGGAGAAGTCTAAGTTAGGAAATGAAGTGTCGCAGTTTTGTTTGGCCTGACCATCAGGGTGCGCTCCGGATTGGACCGAAGGTAATTCCCCCGATTTATTTGCAGTGCTCGGAGGGGGTTGCTTGCGAGACCTTGACTTACCGGCGCTAAGGCCCGAGAATGATGGACATATATTGACCTCGCGGTCGATAACTGCGTTATCAAGAAACCACTGGGTCACACCCTTAATTATCTTCACATTGTTGGCTTCAAACATATGTTCTATCTTCTTGTTATTTTCTTGTACGATTTTTGAAACCATTGTCTTCAACTTCTCCTCAAAAAACATAACTCCTTTGTCAGTGTCATGTGCAACGTTTGTGACTCGACTTCTACCAGACTTTCTCATCTTCCCTTTACCTTTCTTCCCAACAACAATCTTTGTCTTCTTAACACCCCTTCGAGAACTTGTACGAGCTGCTAAAAACTCAGGATCAATGCCAGGGCCAAACATTTCAGACTTAAATTCGAATCCTTGATTAATAAGAGTAATCATATGGTCGACCCTTTCGTCATGTTCATCTTCGCTCCAGGATAGATCCTCCTCGCCGTCGCTGATTTCGAAATCAGGCCGAATGATAGAGTTAACCGCGACCTTGACAAACGCAATAATTATAAACGTATGTTAGCCGCTAACTGTTAAATGTTACATGCTACCCTGAATACACACTGCAAATTTTGTTATCAGGCAACTATATTATCATATCTAAAAATGATATCGTACGTATTGTAACTTATCATAAACAATCACTATAACTAATACAGCAACAGGCCAATGTTACATGTTAACTGAGTATTAAACCAAACAATGTTACAGGTTAACCGACTTATCAAAAAAGGAGCCTAATCCCTCAGAGTGAGCACATCAACTCTTGTTAAGATCGAATCACTATATCGAATCTAACACCGATATAGTGAATAATTGTGAATTTCATATCCAACAATGATAACTTACACTACAATTACCAACAGTTACATGGTAAACTAATTATCCGATACACTAAACACATTTCCAGATTATCACATCAAATCCTGTTATCATGTAACAACTTACTCATATATATCAATGATAACTTAGTACTGCTAAGTATCAGTTCCAACGAGGACAACTTCAGTTGAATACAGTAATTTACTAAACCTAGAGCGTAGTTGTTACAGGTTAATTTAAGTCTCATAGCTAACAAATATATAGTAGCATACAAGTTCATTATAAGCAAGATAATAGAGTTATCGCAATTGTAAACAGTTAACTAGTAAACCGTTTGTAACATATTTAGCAAGTTAAGAGGGTTTACTTCGTACCATTTCATCTTCGTCAAGCACTCTAGCTTTATTCAACTGAAGCTGAACTTTCTGCGGACGCAAGCGAGCACCGCCCCTGCTTGGGCTACTGTCTTCCCCATCAGATGAGTCATCATCTTCTTGAATGGCAGGGACGGCCTCTAAAACAACCATTGGTAAGGCAGGGAACAAACCTCCGACAGTAATGTTAGCTGTTAAAATCTGTGCTAAATTCCTGCCCTTTATCGAATTCATCATTACATCAAAGGATAACCGGCCCCAGGGGTACTGCAGAAATGCATCAAGGTCTTCAACCATCTCGGCGTGATCCATGCTCACCTTTGACCGAGAAAAATGAACAGAAGGCATTAGAAAGGCATCCACTATGGCAAGGCACGCGTATCGCAGTCTCAACCGGGTCTCTAAACTAGTTTTCTTCTGCAATATCTCGATTGGTCGTTCCACTGGGACTTCCTTCTCATCACCGAATAGAGTCTTGAAGTACTCGGGAACAACATGCAGTCTCCTTTTTTTCTTCTGACTTGTTGGGTATTTCCCGCATTTCAAACTGGACACTATTTTAAACTCCCCGATTCAGAATCGAATCGGTTTCCCTGCAAATACCAGCCAGATCTCGTTTTCTTTCTTCACGTCAAGAAGTCTGGTGAGGGTGAACAAACCGAATGCGCCGGACCAAGCAGGCTGGTTTGCAAACTCGAACAGTTTTCCAAACTGAGATGCCTTCATAAAATCCCTCTCTGTCTGACTCAAAGCGGCATCGATGTCAGATATAACCGTCATCTTCTGGTAAATGTTCACACAGTCTCCCTTGGGGACTTCTTCAGGGATGAAGATCCGTTGGGGAAGACCAGAGTCGGCCATCTATACAGGATATTACGATTCATGAGTTAATCGGACTGCAATTCCCCTAACCACTCACCTAAACCTCGAAAACGAATGAACTGTAATTCTACATCTAATCGTTCGAAATTTACCTCTTCGGACATGGATTCTGATCGCGTTTCCTCGTCATCGTTGTGGTCAGAACTACCCATCGTTTGGTGGGAATGAAATTCTTCACAATTTCGCCGTTATCTATGGGTATTGAATGGAGATTACAAACCCTAGCGTAGGAAATTTCTCGTCTTCCACCCAAACCTGAAAATTTATTTTCCAGATTATTTTAAATATTTAACATTCAAAATTTAAAGTTCCCACTCTTCCCGAGAATTTCTCTGCCTAAAGCAACAATAAACGCCAGTAATGTAGGGGTCCACTGCGACAACTAAATCTGCTAAACGTGTTATAACAGTTATCGCAGACCCTATCCAGATACGTCAGAGTAGGGGTAATGTGGGATAGTTATTCTAAACAGTACGCTTAAAGCAGTGTTCATTCTGACAAACTAATTTCGAGTTATCTATAGGTAGATATTCATATAACTCTTTTTTTTTAGTTTTTGGTTTTGTTTTTTTTTTTTTGCTTTTTTCGTTTTAAAAAAATGTTTTTTTTTCGTCAAAAAAAATTTCGAGTTTTTTTTAAAAATTTTTTCGAAATTAAAGTTTTTTCGAAAAAAAAAAAATTTATAAAAAAAAAAATCATAATAGCATTTTCGTAATAATATTCAACATCTGGATAAAATGGACCTAAACCAACTTTATAAGGTTAGTCTAGTAAGCTCTTCAATATGTTAGGTTAGGTTTGTCATTTCATTAACCTTAAACGTTAGTCTGAGGAATTTTCACTTGATTTATTATCTAGATACATCAAAGGATCACATTCGCCCTCGCTACGTTAATCTGATATTTGATCTTGGTGGGCCTGTTCAATGGTCTGGACTTACCAAGATTTGGTATGCTCCATTTTTTGGGAATTATCGTCTCCGTCCACAATCAATTGGGCCAAGGATGGCACGGTATGGCTCCTCTTGACATCATCCATTAGGTGCTACACATACTGGTTAGTGGCTATTTATAAGCTATGCTCATGGTTCCTCGTCATTGGTTTGTTTGGTACGAGAGGTACAGGGTTCCTAAGCATCAATGGCTTGTCTAAAACTTCTGATCACATCATAAAAATCATTACTCAATCCATATACGAAAATCTCACATTTAAAGTAAGATGACACAAATTAAAGTGATATACAAGGGAATTAGCCAATACATTCATTATCAATTTGTTTTTGGGGTGAAACACATGAAATTATAATAGTTAAATATCTCTGAACTGTGAACACCATGGATACTTCTCTGTTTCCACATATTGTTAGGAATTAATCCAAGATTCCACATCTGAAATTTAAACAGTGTCTAATATATAAGTCATGTCCAATAATAATCAGTAAGAGGCTTTTTAGGAAGAAACCCAAAAACAAACTCATGCGAATTTTGACACTTGGACCCAAAGCGGACAATATCATACTAACGGGAAATTGAACATAGGCTTGAAAAACCCAAAAATTAGTATTGTTGATACACCTTAAATCCTAATGCGTAGAAGCTTCTTGGAGGATTCCAGTCAAGGTGGAGATTTGTTGATATGTCTTGAATCCTGAAGCATAGAAGCTTCCTGGTGTTGATGCCTGCAGATGCATGCAGGCTGCACGATCAAGCATGCTGGCAGCATGCAGGATACTTGCAGTATGTTGAAGCTTACATGCTGCATCTTGAGGTTGTGTGTGTAGGTTTACACGCTGCACTAAAGCTTACAATCTGTTTGAGCAAATAGTTGAATGTAACGTTCTGCATCCAGAAGCTGATGTTGAGATCTACATGTTGTGTAATTGAAGACTACAACCAGTGTTAGCAATGTAGAAGTCTGCGTGCACTTGGGCTGGTGTTTGTGCATGAAGGTTCCTACATGAGCCTAAGTGAGAGAACCCAATTACGATTAGGGTTAACTAGGGTTTCTGCTATAAGTAACCATGTTACCCTAATTTCTGATGTATTATGAAACTTTATGTCTCCATCATAAAATTAGTCTCCTTTGCCCGTGGACGTAGCCAACACATCATTGGTGAACCACGTTGATTCTGTGCACAATCTTTACATTTACTGTTTTCTTCTTGCATCTGTTACAACAAGTATAAAAGCGAGGTTTTAGAAAAGATGGACCTAGACAAGTGGGTGTGGACTAGATGTTTGTTGTAGGAGGGAGAGCCCTCAAGGTGATTCTGCAATTATGGGTTGTCGGTTATTATGTCGAAAGTCTTCCTAACGGTTTCACAAGAGTTATAAGAAGAATTATGTTGGTGCGTACGGCGGTACAAGATGGGTGCCAGGTTTTGATGGAGGTTGGAGGCCAAGGTTTTGTGTGCTCCTTGGTTTAAGAGGATGATTGTTGGGAATCAATCCAAAATCCCACATTGAAAATTTTTAAGCAAATATTATTCGGTATCTAAGCAATGTCCAACAGTAATTAGTATGAGGCTTTTTGGGAAGGGGTACAAAAACATATCCATGCGAGATTTGCTACTTGGGCATGGACTTAAAAAGCCCAAGAATTGGTTTTTAGATGGAGGTTTTGGAAAATGTGGACTTAGACAAGTGGGTGTGGGCTGAATATTCGTTGTGGGAGAAAAAACATTTATGATGACCTCGCGATTAGGGGTGCCGGTTCCTTGTGTGAAAAATATTTCTAACGGTTGTGTAAAGATTATGTGAAGAGTTTTGTTGGTGCATACGGTAGTACAAGATGGATGCCCCAGGTTTCACTAGAGGTTGGAGGCTAATGGTTTGTGTGATCCATGGTTTTTGAGAAAATGATTGTTGGGAATCAATTAATTTAAGATCTCACATTTGAAATTTAGACAAAGAATATCTAATATATAAATTATGTCTAATAGTAATTAGTAAAACCCATTTTGGGAAGGAATTCAAAAATATATTCATATGGATTTTACCATTTGAATCCAAAACAGACAATAATTAGACATGAACTTAAAAAGTACAACACATATTATATAACAGAATCAGAAATATAGTTTTACTTCGTATAATATTTCGAAATGTTAGTGGGATGAGGATCAATGGACTGTAAATAACTAATGGTTAGATCATGTTATAAATAATACTCCCTCTGTTCAGAATTATTTGATGTTTTAGAAGGTTTTTTTGTTCAGAATTATTTGATGTTTTCACTTTTTAATGCAAAATTTATTGAATTTTTATAATTTTTGACATTTTATATTTTGCAGAATGTCTTTTTATTGGCTGAATGATACTTAAATAGATTATAAATTATATTTTTTAGTATAGAAAAAATAAAAATTAAATGAATCCTTAAACTGTGTGCAAAAACTTTAAACATCAAATAATTCTGAACAGAGGGAGTAGTATTCATTACAAGGCATGCATGATGTACGTGATTGGTAAAGACATCATTATATTGGGTGCCGTGTAATGGCCGCTCACTCTTGTCTTCTTGATAAACTTAATAAGTATACCGTTTAATCGTTTAATGGCCAAAAGATCAGCATATGTTTTTGGATGTCATTTAATGGTTAATGCATGATCAATGCAGTAGATTTTAGGTTCACTGACATTCTAGCAAAAAGTAAAGAACCGGATGTGGAAGTGATAATCGCGAAAGGACTTAGAAAACTCCATAATGATATAAAAACTAAATTTCTATTACCATTTTAATACACTAAATTTTTGCGTCTCCAGAACAATAAACCAATTTTTCATTTCCATTTTAATTTACAGACTTTAAACGTTCATCTATTTTTTCGGCCTGCATTTAATATATAAGAACCAAAGAGCCATATTTTCCCCTTTTTTTTGTTAATATGATTTTATATTTCATTTTTGGCCTTACTAAGTCAATTTGGAGTTTTTGTTTTATCTCCAATCTTTTGAGTACATTGTGCATTTCTATGCATTCGCTAGCAACCAATAACTTATTATACTAAAAATCCAAAATTTTATGAAAGAGTCATTAAAAACATGTTTTCGTAACTAACTAAATTGACGATTTCTTACGGTTTCATAAAGTCGATGAACTTACTATACACTAATAGCAGAATGACACGCATGATTCGCATGGATTAAAGATCACTAAGAAAATTATAGAAGGGAATTTTCACTCTTATCCACAAGCCTATCTTATGTATTGCACCGTCCACAAAAGTGTCTATCACAGATTTCAAGTGGACCATCCTTTCCTTTGAAATATTAAATCCGTGTATGAACTGGAATTTACATACATTCTTTCTATAATTTTTTTTTACTATAATAGTATTTAAAAAAAAAAACTCAAGTTAGCTTTTCATACTAAAACTATTGACATATGTCATTAGTATCTAGAGTAAATATATATATATATGATATATATGTATATATAGTGTATCGTATATTCCAATGATAGTTTACCAGTAATTTGGAGTATAGGTATAAATCATATCATAAACTCCACGTAAGAAGTGTGAAACATCAAAAGATGACTATTTTATGAAATGATTGAAATCTATAATAAATCTACAAGTACATATTATACTGTGTGATTGTGACATCCAAAAATAAAATGATACAATGATTCTTATTTGAATATTTGATGAACTAATTATTCATATGAAATCTAAGCTCTTTAGGTAATAATGTTTTCCTATTCCTATAACAAATTACCACTAACACTATCCAACCTTTCTTTGTGTGACGTGATTTTGTCTGTTTCCTTATCCCAGTAATTTTTTAAAAACTAATAACCATCAGAAAATAAGCAAGAAGGAGAAGAGGGAAACATAAATTACATATTCATAAATCAGACATTTTGACAATCCGATCGATAGAAAATGTCTCAGAAACAGAAATCCAAGAAAAAAAGAAACAGAGACAATTGGAAATGCAAATGAGAATATTATATGAATGATTTAAGAGAAAGTGACTTAAGCATCGGTGAAGCTTGGTGGCTTGTAGGCGATGAAACTGATGCACTGGACTTGACGGGTGTTGTCGAATCCGATGATCCTAATGAAGGCCTGGGGGTACTCCTTCTTGCACTCTTGCACTTCCTTCAACACTTGAGCTGAGTCAGTGCATCCGAACAAAGGAAGCTTCCACATTGTCCAGTAACGTCCATCGTAGTATCCGGGAGTGCTTCCGTGCTCACGGTGCACAAACCCGTTCTACAAAACACATTACAAAAACCATTCAAGAACATTTCAAATATGTACATATAAATCAAGATTCTGCATAGGACCTCTAAACAGTTTTAAGATCGTTGCAAGATTCATATGGTCAAGCTACTCTAAATATTTATGTATATGATTTTCGATTTTTATTACCTCCAACTCGAATTCAACACAGGGAATCCACTTGTTGCGGAGAAGGTAGTCAACTTCCTTAGCCAATTCAACTTCGGTAAGGTCAGGAAGGTAAGAGAGAGTCTCAAACTTCTTCTTTCCAATTGGTGGCCACACCTATAAATAACATTTCCAATTAATATTACTTCGATTTCGTATATATATATATATGAACTTATAGTGACATTTAATTACCTTCATGCAGCTAACTCTTCCTCCGTTGCTTGCGATGGAAGTAATGTCGGTGTTGGTCTTGCGGGTGACTGGGAATGCAGCGGATGACTTCAAGCCGGTGAATGGAGCGACCATGGTGGCTTGAGCCGGTGAAGTAACAACAGCGGCGGAGGAGAGCATAGAGGAAGCCATTACTATTTCTTCTTCTTCTTCTTCTTTTGCTCTTTTCTCTTACTTACTTGTTTGTCTATCGCTTTACTCATCTATATATATAGTGAGAACGGCTAGAGGCAAAAAGCCCTATTGATCAAAGGGTCCATGATTCTTGATAACGTCGTTTACTGCCACAGGATTAAGGAAAGGTGTTGACACCCTTATCGTCACGGACCACTATGATAAGGCCACGTGTCAGAAAATTCCATTATCTTATCTTTTCTTGTAAGAAAATGAGTGAATGTGTATGGTTACTGGTCTCCACTTGAGCCATATGGGTTTTGTCTCCTTCCTTTTGGGAGAAAAGAAATCAGACGCATGACCTACATTATAATGTTTTTGGACCTTATGTTTATTATATACAATTAATTGGGCTTAGTCTGAATCGGTTTATAAGTTCACAATGTTCCGTTACACATTACTCGAAAATTTTATTATTGATATAATCAAAGGTCGTCACTATTATAACTTATGAGTTATGAGAGCGTTAATGGCCATGTACACTCTTAAAGCAAGAAGACAGAAGAATAGTAAAAAAAAATTTAGGAACATAACAAAAGAAAGTAAAAAACAGAGGACTAAAAAATTCGAGTTAAGATGATATGAGATAATACCACTGTTGTCATTTCAAATCCAGGAACTCTATTGCCACTATTGCTTTTATTTTTTTTGGCTAAGATGTTAATATCATTAAAAATGAACGGTTTAGATTTTATAGATGCTTTAACCAATGAAATTGGTCTCATGGCAAAAAAAAAATTAAACATGGAAACAAAAAACAACTCGAAATTCAGTCCATCGACTAAACCATGAGTTTTTCAACTCACAATGTCAAGATGCAATGATAACATTCTTAAAACCGAAGAAACAAAAGAAATAATGATAAAACGACCCAACCGGAAAGCAACTTAAAAGTCTTTAAGAACCAGTTCTCCGCAAGTTGGAAGCTATTGCCATTATGTTCGGTGTGTTACCATTCAAACCCAAATGTTTTGCGTAACCACTTGATGTTACAATGGGAATGAAAGCGTTTATTTGTTCTATTAAGATTTTTTACATTATAAAGATAGTCATTGACGCATATCACAAATTAATGTTGAATTTTTTTTATCCATTTAACCCCAAAAAAAAATATATATATATATATATATATATCCAAATCATCTATATACTTATTTGTGTACTGATTTGCTTACGTGTCGCGTTCACAACAAGTTTCACAATCTTTCGCTTACGTGTCTGATCTAGAATGAGTTTCGACTACAAAAAAACTGTTTAACCATATTAAGCAATTATGTGTCATTTTTTAATTGGTTTTTAATTGATGATGTGTAAAAAAAAAAACTCAAAACGAACCGGTTTAAATTAATATGGTTTAATGCTTAATTTTATAGTCAACTAAACCGTTTTTAAAATTAGATAAAACCGAAATTTAGAAATTTTTTTAAAAAAAATGTTTTTCTAAAAAAAAATTATCTCTTAGTGTTTACCATTTCTTATGTTTCTAAAATTTAGAATGTTAAAAGAAACAAAAAATTGAATCTATTTAAAAAGCTTTAGAGTGTCGTTTTTGAAGTTATATAAAACCAAAATTTAGAAGAATTAAAAAAAAAACGTTTTACAGCGAGTTTCACAGCTTTTCGCTTACGTGTCAACTCCTAAATAAATTTCGGCTATAAACAGACCGTTTAGCCCTTTTTGCAATTATGTGTCATTTTTTTATTGGTTCTTATATGATGATGTGTAAAAAACCTTTTAAAAAAGTCTAAATATGGTTTAATTTTTAATTTCATGGTCAATGAAACCGTTTTTAAAATTATATATAACCGAAATTTAAAAAAAAAATAACAAAAATTTTTTTTTTATAAAAAAATAGAATCCATACTTCTTAGTGTTTACCATTTCTTTTGTTTTTAAAATTTAGAAAAATCTAACAAAAATGTTAAAAGAAAAAAAATGAAAACTATTTAAAAAGTAATAGAATGTCGTTTCAAAACAAAACAAAAACAGAAATTAAAAAAAAAACTCTAACAAAAAAGTTTAAAAGAAAGAAAATCTATATATCTAACTAATGGAATGAAGGTATTTATGATGTTTAAAACACATTAAACAGTGATCAAAATTGAATAAGTTCATACGAACCTTAAAAAAATTACGTCTAAAATACATAAAACAGTAATCAAAATATCTCAAAACTATTTAAACTAAATTATTTGGATATTACTATGCTTTTATTTACTCTCTTCTATTCTATATTGTCTTCACGATCATGCCTTCCAATATTAAAATGCAAAAAAAAAACTAACAAACAAATATACTCAAGAATAAAAAAATAAATAAATCCAAACTACTATTACATTTTCAAACAATCAAATGGAAATTATATCAATCCGCGCAAGGCGCGAGAAAGTTAACTAGTTACTCTTTAAGAGCAGCTCCAATGGAAGGTGCTTAAAGAGTGCTTAATCAAAAAGTTAGATTAAAAATAAATCTTTAATAGAAAAAAAGCTTAGCATCGATGCTTCTATTAGCAACTTAAGCACCCTTAAGCACCGATGATGTGCTCAATTCTCATTGGTCTAAAATTTTTCTTTTTTTTTCTTTTTTTTTCACGCAGGATAACCTTTTTTCCTTTGTTCTTCACCGATCACGTTTTTGTCCCAAGTCGTTTTTTCTCCTTCTGTTTCCAAAGCCGACCTTCGATTCTTTTGGCGATTGAGAGAGCCGATTGAGAGATTACCCAGCTTGATCTTCATGCATGCTTATTCCCCATCTTTTCCGGCAAGAAATCCTTTGTTATCATCACTTTTCCGGCGAGAAACCCAGGTTGATGTTTACTCTATCAATCGATGGTTCAGAGATATCATCCCTCGTCGAAGCAGCTAATTCCGCCGATTCAACAGAAACAAAGACTCACCAGTGCAAAGACTCAGCAAGATTTTGGTTAGTTGGGAAATCAAATTTCAGAAACCAAATTTGATTACAGGTTTTTGTAATTTTCGACAACATTGATTTTTGACCGATGAATGGATTTGCTTACGGGTTTTTGTTTCTGGATTTTCTGCAATTTGGTGCTTTGAGTATCATGGTTGATAGTTGACTATAAAAAAAGAGAGTGTTGTGGTTGATTTTTGTTTGATTGTATCAGCGTGCAAATTAACAGAAACAATGTTTGTTATATCCGCGTCGAGTCTGAAGCTTTTTGTACTTAATAGATGGTCCAATTTCAAATTCATTATGTGTTAGTGGTTGCTTTATTGCTCACACTCTGAGTTAGAGAATAGGTTTAACATTCAATATACCCGGAAGCTATTGGCGATGGGGCTTCTATTATTCTATCGGATCAGATTGTTTGTATGAAAAAAGCGGTTTTGTTATATACAGTGGTTATCTTCCTTATCTGTATTGATGATATATTTTTTCTGCTGTTGCCAGGCAATGCAGTCTTAAACCAAAGACATTGGAAGATAGGTATCAGGAAGAACGATCAAAGAAGAAGACACAACAACAAGAACGATCAAAGAAGAAGACGCAAATTCAAACTAAAAAAAAAATTTTTTAAGCACCCCTTTTTAGCACCTCCCATTGGACCCTGAAAAAAAATAACATCTTAAAAGAAATGCTTAAACAACAAAACTTCAAAAATACTAATTTAAAAATGGTTAAGCACTCCTTAAGGTGCTAACCATTGGAGATGGCCTAATTAGATGCAAAAACAGTAAAAGCGATAAGGACAAGAGAAAAACAGCAAAACCGGATTCGTATTAGTCAAAACAAAGATGTTTAAAAATAGCTAGAATGAATATCCATGTAAAAAAGAGTATAAAAAGACATTGCCCCTTCTAATTATCTACAAAAATTACTTCTAAATCTAAACGAAGTGTAGAACAAGGAAGAGCAAAACAATGAATCGTCTCTCGTGTTTTCTGCTCGTTATTGGATTGTGCATGGGATTGAGTAACGCAAAGTGGAATGAGAAAAACTCTGTATTCTTTAAAAATTCTCTAGGCCGGAACAATATATTGAAGATCAATTGCATATCGAACGACGACAATCTAGGCTTCCACTATTTGCGACCTGGAGAAACCTACGATTTCAGTTTTCATGATAGTGTTTTGAAAACAGAATTCTTTTGTGATCTATGGCAAGGACCTAATTTCAAGTTCCATGCAGGGTTTACGGGATATGTAGGTGGTGGTCTCATAGTTCATTATGGTAAAAAGAACTTTTGGGATGCTAGAGAAGATGGGATCTACTTCACACATGGCAAAAAAACGCCTAAGTTAGAATACAAGTGGAAGTAATCATTAGAAATCTGTTTTAAGTTAAGCAAAAAAAAAGGGTTTTCTTCTGAATTGTGGAAGCGAAACCTTTGTAACAAATTATCAAAAGCATCTTTATACATGTATCTTATTATATAAATGAAAAACTTTAAATGTATGTAAGTCCATTTTGAAAAAATTACATGCATACATAGAGCTAACCCTAGTCTCTCTATATGCAGATAATATCAATAGGCTTCGGAAAAATACACTTAATTGGGCTCAATAGTCGAGCTCATAAATCAATATTTCCGCTAAAGCCCAGCATAGGACGATATCCAAATTTTTGTACTACATATAATATAGCACATGAACCAAAAGCTAAAGCTTTCAAGTTTCAAGAAAAAAAATTGTAGGATCAAGACCTGAAACATTTTTCTATATTACAAACAAGATTACTAATGTCTGATTACTGGTACCCTCTTACGGATGTTCACATATTGCATCAAGTTCGAGGTTCAAGCCTCACTATGCATGCATATGTTATCTAACGTAGCCAAAATGAAAATAAATTATGTATTTGTCTTATTTTTTTTTCCTCCGACAAAGAACTTTATTGATTTTGCAAATCACAAATTCACAATATTTGTTTACAAGAGGATATAGTAAATTTGGGCAACAATGATACATTGACCAAAGAGTTACATCCAAGATTGATTTCCTAGCTAGCATATATATCACCGCATGTATTCAACTCACGATGCCTAAAGGAAATTTTGTCTTGCTTAAACATATCGCTTCACCGGTTGATTGCCTCCATATAATGCTGAAGTTTAAGGTTTGTAATTTTCTGGTTGATAATACGGTTGATATTCAAATATTCACCTTCAAACTCTACCACTCAATATCCGAGGGCCCAAGTTGCTTGCATAGCCCAAATAATTGATGTACATTCTACTTCTTCAGTTGTGTTTCTCCCTTGAAACTTACCCATACATAGTCTAAGAAAGTTCCATTGCTATATCGAAGAATCCATCCAAGTCCCGAGTTTTGATTACCTTCATAATGGGATGCATCATATATAATTACACTTAACCTATAACCTTTATTTGGTTTTATCCATCGACTTTGCTCTTGTCTAGTCCTATGGCCGGTGTCTACGATGATGTCTCCGTTGGAGGAGATCTGCTGATCCCTTTTTTCGCATCCTCAGTTGCTCTCTTTATCGTTCTACTTCGGTGATATTATGATGATTGAATAGGAGATCATTTTGACTTCTCCATAGCCTCCAAAGCACTTAAAAAGGAAGTTTCAGGTTTGTTTCAGAGACAACTATTCCGGTGTAGAGAGAACAAGTATCGTACTTTGTCTTCCAATGAAAATTTTCGATTCTTGAGGATATGCAGAGGCATTCCTGATAAACGCCAGACTTCTTTGGCATATTGACATGAGAAGAAGGTGTGCTCACTGTTAGTGTAATGTTCACTGAGAACAAAACCGGTCTACATTGTACAAAAACATATGGAAAATATTTAACTTTATTTAAGGGTTTTGAATCCCTAAAAGAGATAGGCTTGTCTCATTTCCAATAGAACTAGCAACATTTGATCTCTAATAGGTACATTGTACAAAAACTAGTCCGTAAAATAGATACGAATCGACTACAGCGGTTAGAGGCACATGCTTCTTCTACTTCTACCTAAGACCGAGTTAAAAGTTGGTCATGTCAATTTGTTTTCACTTAAATATTGTACAGCGATTATTTAATTAAAAGTTGATACACTATCAAAATTTTAAAATCGTCTATATATTTGTTCTCATAATTTGTATTTGATAATATTTGAGATAGCATTTTCACATTTTCACATTTTCACATTTCCACCAAATCTTATTTGATCACGAAGATTTGTCTCTTTTGATACTGGAAGGATATTTGCTTAACTTCGTCAAACAAGATACAGTATATCACTATTTAAATGTAGATGCATACGCGTGTGTATGTTATAACAAATATTTACATTTCCTAGATAGTTTATACTATTGTAGTGTATTTTCTTCTTTTTTTTGGCTAAAATATTGTTGTGGTGTATTTTATGAATACAAGACTATTACTCATAATTCTCATTCCAAACAAGTAGTCGGAGTGATTACAGACCATAGAGATCTAAATGGGATCGCTTAACTGATCTCATGACAACTAAGAACTAATTAGCATCGGATTGATTGCGTTACGGAAAATTGAACAAATAATTATTCCTTTAATATTTTCTTGCATCATTTGTACAACAATCCAGTTATTTATTGGAGCGTATCTAACAGTATGACGATATTTTTTTTGACTTGTCAGTTCAAGAAAAATTATAATGACGATATGTTTTTATATACGCGTATATATGTTATATTATTATAATTTCTAACAATATTTTCTAATTCTACACATGGACATACAATACAAAATTCTTTTTCTACCATGCACTCCGATTGCTTTACTTCTACCACATTTTCTTTTTAATATATTTAAGATAAAGAAGCAAGAATCAACCTTAGTCATTGTAAGTGCAATGGCTGCCACCAAACTTAACCAACAAAAATAAAAGTTGAACTCCTTTTCCCCCATCCCTAATCACTTTTTTTGTTTCTTTGATTATTATACTTCTTGTTTTATGTTTGTTATTATTAGAAGCTTATCTAGATTGAACCCATCTCAATATAACATGATGACTTTTATTAATATTGAATATCAACTTCACTTTCTAAACCCAATAAAAGGGGATCGATGGACAATTGCTTTTTGGCCCATATGCCAAAAAGGTTATTTGATACCATTTTGCAGCCTCAAAAGCAAATAAATATGACCTTACACAAAGACAACAGTCGCGAGACTCCCAACCTTTCATATCTTTCTGTGATTAATTTATTACTAAGAAGATTATTTATATCTTGCAACTCGTCCTTATTGAATCAATTGAATCAATTAAAACATCAAACAAATAAGCTTTGGCCTATAAAAAATTACAATCATTTGTTAGTCTAATAAATATTAGTTCGAAATCTTCTTTTGAGCTTTCTCACTTCGAATGCCAACTTAGTCTACCATTTTTTTTTTGGCATAGCAAAAATATTTTAATGCATGAGTTTTGAAATCAGTGCGAAAATTTATGTCATCAAATGTACATTTTTTTTAGTTTTTACCATGGATCAGTTTAAAATGTTTTACTAAACGTGTATATTTTTGAGAAATTCTAAGAAATAGCTTATATATTTTAACATATATGAAAAAAAAACATGAAGGCTGTTGAGTTGTTTTCGTCACTTTTAAATAATATCGTAAAACCCATAAAAGAAAGAAAAAACACAAAAGAAAATGTATTTTGAGGAAAAAGAATAGCATATATTCTCTCGTATAGCATTTATTCCAATAAAAATCCCCCATGTTACTCAAAAAATTCACAAACCCCAAAATCTTTCCTCTCCCAGCGTTTAACCAAGGCATTAAAAACCAATCTCTTAACCCCAAAAGTCTTCATAAATCCAATGGTTTCAATATCACTTGAACTCCATACTTAGGTTTTATAGTAAGCACAACGATTGGCGCATGTCTATAATTCTTTGATATCGTGAAGCTAAACTTCGAAATTAGCGTCGCTAATATTATTTTTGCTTCCATCATCGCAAATGATTGTCCAATACAGTTTCTAGGACCGGCTGCAAATGGAATAAAATGGCGGCCAGGAGCGAATGGTCTACCTCCAAAACGTTCAGGGTTGAATTCATTTGCGTCTTTACCCCATAGTTCTTCACTGTGATGGATCGCGAGGACCGGAATCCATATTGATAAACCTTTGGGAATTGTTAGATCACCTAGTTTTATATCTTCAAATGCCATCCTTGGTAGAAGAGTGGCTGGAGGGTAAAGTCTTAGTGACTCGTTTATCACTTTGTTTAACTGGTATAAGGGAAGAAAAAAGACAAAATAGTTAGGAGAAATATTCTATTAATTTATATTGGAATCATATCTTATGATCATGCGAAGTGCCTCTTGACTCTTTCTCAAACATCTTTTAGTTTGAGAATTGACTTTTCCTTTTGAAAAAGACTATCAATGAAGCTGTCAAAATCTAATCATTAGTTAATACAGATTTCAGATTTTTTGCATATATAATATTTTATGCAAAGCATGTCTTAGTGCTAATCATTAAACAAAAGACATGTATCATTTACCCATTTGTTTATGCCTGAAAATCTATGTACCAGTCCCTCTATTTCTTCTCAAATTTTAAAGCTAGCTTAACCAATTGTTAATCATATCTTATTTAAATAACTATTTCTAAGACGAAACGTGAATTATGTAAAACCAGATACAAAAATGTAACGACTGATTCAAAATGAATACATCTGTAGAAATCAATAAACCTACACATTTCTATTACGCTTTTTATTTGATTTCGGCTAAGATTAAGCATGAAGACAAAACTAGAAGATATGATCTACTCATTAGGTTTCTGTGTCGACTTGGTGACTATGTTATTAGCTTAGATATGGAAGAAGCACTATGAAGTTAGTGGCACTGCCTATACTGTGTTGAATGTTTATACCCCACCCGCACCAATTCATCATTATAAAGCTAATTCTACTACTTCAAACAAAATAATTAGTTTCAATATTGTATAGTTATATACTTATTAAATTGGAGCAAACAACAAATATCATCTTTTATGTGTATGAGTTAGTGGCCTTCGAGTCCTACTCAGAATCTACTCAGAAGATGCTACCATTCAAACCTAATATAACTTTACACCTACGTTGACTCGATGGATCTAACCAAAAAAATTAAAATTTGTAAGAGAAGAATTGATCTTAGGTTTAGAATTCTAGTTCTAATTAATGGGTAAGAACAATATATTTTAGATGTTATAAGTTGTATATCATGTATCTAGCTAAGAGTGAAAATACGTACCGAGGTAAGCTTGGATAGTTGATCAACCGAGGGAAGACCGTCGCAGCCACATACCTCTCTGACCTCATCACGAACTTTTTCCTGC